CATAACTTCTATTCTAATGAGAAATCATAAAACAAAAAGTGCGAACATCTAGATCTCCTTAACCTAAAACTGTAGTACGTGGCGAGCCAAACCGATAAAACAATGATGCATACTCATCGGGAGTGTGTAAGATCCTTAAACAAGGCTTAACAGGGTTTACGAACCATGCATTGCGATGCCGGACACTCACAATTGTCACACATGGATCCTCTCTCAATCGTTTTCACTCTATCTCTCTCTATGTCAAATCTCTCCCAAATCTCTCCAAGTATGTGAAATCTCTCTCAAATATCTCTCTGTATTAGAAATATCTCCAAGAATGTCGAATCTCTCCCAAATCCCTCTAAGTATGTGAAATCTCTCTCAAATATCTCTCTGTATGAGAAATCTCTCCAAGAATGTCAAATCTCTCCCAAATCTCTCCAAGTATGTGAAATCTCTCTCAAATATCTCTCTGTATGAGAAATCTCTCCAAGAATGTCAAATCTCTCCCAAATCTCTCCAAGTATGTGAAAACTCTCGCAAATATCTCTGTGTATGAGAAATCTCTCCAAGAATGTCAAATCTCTCCCAAATCTCTCCAAGTATGAGAAATCTCTCCCAAATCTCCCTCAAATAGTTCCCGTAACTTTTTAGAATCATTCGGGTCATTCGGCCCTTAACCGGGTCAAAAACGGCTTAAAACGGGGCGAAAACGCGAAAAACGGATCTTAGGAACCGAAACCCCTCTTAGGAACCGAACCCTCCTGAGGAAGAAGGCTGCTGAACCGAACCGAAGGTACTGTTCACTACAGTTCATTCGGTTTTTTTGACTTCTCGCCTTCTATCTCCGAACCGAGCCTCTGTTGGCTAAGGGCGCGAGGACCGAGCCTCGGTTCTCGGTCGCCTCATCTGTTCCGCCTCTCTGTCTCTTCCCTTCTCTCGCTCTGTCTCTACTCGCGCCCCTCTGTTCTCTCTTCTCCCCTCTCGGTTCCTTCCCTTCTCTCTTCTTCCCTCTCGGTTCTGCCTCCCTCTCTCTCTCGGTTCAGCACCAGAAGGCCGAACCTCGGCCAGACTTCGGGAAATTGTCACTTTTAGCCCATTTTTGATATTTTTAACATTTTAAGCCCGTTTTTCATGATTTTAAAGCGGGATTTTCTCCAGAAATTATATTTTAACATAATAAACTCTAAATATTCATAATTTAAACATATTTTGATGAAAATCATTATTTAAATAATAAAAATCAAGTGGGTGAATTATTAAAGGTGGAGTGTTGACTTTGCCTTATCCAATGTCACAAGCAACCACCCCACACCCACTCTTTGACTAACCACACCTCCCCACCTTACCTAGGTCACTTCAATGTCCCTCACACCAATTTACACTCATTCCCACGTTTTTGAGCTGGAACAAACATCCTCTCTCCTCATTTCTCTCATTTTCTCCCATTTCACTAAGTATCAAACACCACTTTTCTCTCAAACTTTTTCTCCACCAAACTCGAGATTCAAGGCTGATTATCAAGTGTTCTTCCACTCTTAGTAAGTATAATTCATCCTCCTTATGATTATCTCACTTATTTCCACTCAAATCATGGATATCTTACACAAACTCCATCATATTAGCGTTAGAGCTTCGAATCTTCAAGTGATTCTTCAAGTGTTCTTGGGTTGAACACTTCTCTTCTTCAACACTTATCTACTGAAATCACTCAAGGTGAGTTCATACCCCTACATTTTTATGTTTTCTCAAGTTTTCAGGGGGGGAATACAAGTTAAAACACTAAGAACATAACTAAAATTTTCTAACAGCCTTCATCAGAAAAGTTCAACTCCATTCACGGACTGTTTTGGGCATCTTAAACATTTTTGTTTTCAAAACTGTACAAGGTGCAAATAGTTCAAGTTTTTAGCTTTAAAATGACTACTTGCACATCTCCATACGATTTTTCTACAATTTATGGTGATTTTTACAAAACTGCCTATCATTTCAAACAACAATCCGGACCAGTCTGTGATTGTGGACTTTTTCACCCAAGTTGGAGGTCATTAAAAATCGTGATAAAAATTATGAGTAAACTAGACACATTTTGTGAACTCTCAGAATTTACGGATCTAGTTTTCGACTTCGTATGATTTTTCTATGATTTTTCCAAAACAGGGCAGAATTGCTAAATTTAGCCAACAGCATGTAAATATCATAACACTTTGTAATATGTTGAGCAAAGTGTATAATCATAAGCTCTAATTATTGAATGTGTTTCTTTGTTAGTTTATCATCATGAACTGAAACTAAGTCATTCATAATAAATATATTTCATTCATTTTAGAACACGTATATTAAACTATAAAAAGTATAGTTTGATAAATTCATAACACTAATACATTTCTATAAAAGAATTCATACATATTACATACATTTTAGATAAATTATAATAGGTATAGTTTATGATACATCACTCAACACACTCGTACAAAAAGGGTACATTCATACAAGAAAGATTTATATTCACACATATTTCACGTAAAGTTGTTTACCTATAGTTTGATAAATTCACAACACTAATACATTTCCATAAAAGAATTCATACATATTACATACATTTTAGATAAACTATAATAGGTATAGTTTATGATACATCACTCAACACACTCGTACAAAAAGGGTACATTCATACAAGAAAGATTTATATTCACACACATTTCACGTAAACTTGTTAACCTATATTGTGAGACTCTCTCTCTCTCTCCCCGTACGTCCGAGTGCGGGATATAATTCCTGGTAGTTATAATCAGAATCTCCTTGAGGGAGAACGTGATACTTGTATATAGATCTATATTGGGTTTGACACCCCACACCTTGCTGCTAGCTACAGTTGGACCTGCAGGTCTACGGGTGACAAATGTCATTTTATTTTTCGCGACACTGAGAACGTCGTGGCAGGTTCACATAGTCATAGTATGATTATAGCGACTCACATAGGGATATAACAATCCATAAGTTTACGGGATTTTATTTTTAAAACCTAAATGAGTTTTATGTCGATTTAAAATCACTTTTTATCTCTATGAGTACAGATATTACTGTACACTTTTGGTTTTGGTAGTTACGACTACACATCATTTGAAACCACATTTATACTTTTAAGTATGGTCAATACTTGTTATTTCTCGGTCCTCTAATTTAGGACTACATATATATAAAGTATTAACGAACATGAGAACATACAGAAATTTCATTTAATTCAAACGCGTCCATGTCCATTTAAGTACATAACATTTTCTAATTAATAAGAAAGGTTACTTATACATTTTGGTCTTCAGTCATAAGACTACATTACGCAGATTTTAAAGAAAATATCGGATTTTCTGGATGCATATTGTAACGCTTTTACAAGGAAAACGATTTACTTTTCCAACGAAATTTCTTATGAACTCACCAACCTTTGTGTTGACACTTTTCAAAACTACTTGTATTCTCAGGAATTCAGTGAAAACAGGAAATCAACAACGTTTTGAGGATGGGACGATAAATCGTCAAACAGTTCATTTTGTATTATAATGTAATTGATGGGAATCATGTAAACATGTGCTTTGATGTAACGTTTTCAATTATATTTGTGTTGGTTGTATTTACTTTGAGCACTATTATACTCTTTGTTGTGATACTCTACATGAAGTCCTCCACCCCCGGACGTTTCCGCCATCCTTGGTTTGGGGGTGTGACAGAATCCAACCTAGACATCATCTTCGTAAGTAGATCAATCAGTAATATGACGTTGGAATCACTGACAAATCTTATTTATTAAATTCATAATAACGACTATGAATATAAATATAAATTATACTAAAATAATATAGAGATCAATCTAACTTACAGAGATTTCATAGACAAAAGTGAGGAAATTGTACTGGCAGAGGTTCTACTCGATGGCTACTACTTGTCATGCACTCAGGGTTCGTAGGGCTTCGCCGGTATACTTGAAACTAAGGTAAAATGGCTATAAGTCGAAGAAAATCAAGAGAGAGAGAGAGGACGTGTAGGGGTGTGAGGAAGAAAGCTTATATGAATGCGAGTATATATAGCCGAAAAAATCAATGTGTGCTGCGCACCTTGTCGGGGTGCGCCGCACACTATGTTGGGGGTGGTGGCGTGGCGTTCATCTAGTGGTGACACGTGTTACAATCTTGTAGGTTGTTAGATGCGCACCGCACATCTTGTCTGTGCGCGCGATTGCATGCGGATTTTTATAAAATCTTAGAAAACTTATATCTTCTTCATACAAGCTTTGTTTTCGATGAGATTTATATCCACACATAGCTATCGACGAGATATACAACTTTCATTTAGACTCTATCAACTAATTTTGAATTTATTTTTTAAGTTTTATTTTTCATAGACTTAAACTGTTAAAATCCGTTAAAAATTCATAACTCTCTCATCCACGTCCGTTCCTTACTGTCCTTATATCGACGAACTCCTATTAATTAGATTTTCGATTCTCTTTTAAATTGTTTCGGGTAAAAGTTATCCGATCTAAAACTCGATTTCTGTGCTAACATAGTTACATTGAAATATTTGAAAAATCGTAACTTCCTCTAATGAAGCGAGATGTAGGCGCTCTCTATATGGATGTTCTATGTTTTATGATTACTCCGACTTTCATTTAGATTATTTAGGCTAATAAGCGATCCATCTCTGATTCATTATTTAAGACACTCGATATCGTATTGATTCGAACGTGAAACTTCAACGAATTTTAACTTCTTTGATATATGTCAGATTGGAGTGTTCCTTATATATCTAGAATCCTCATCATGACTACTTTCTCTTTCATCAATGATATCCGGTCTAATTGTTATTCTATTTATGACGTGCATTTTATTTTTTATTTTATAGTATCATTTTAAGTAAGTATGCTACATATAACTACGTATGGAACACATAATACTCGATAATTCTTTTATCATATAAAGGTTACAATCGTTGAACATTACAATTATATTATTTTATTAATGCCAAGCGAGAAAACACGGACGTTACAATATGATATGCTAAAAGTTGTAAATTATGTCAAATTACATCATATCAACACCCAAAGTAGCTTAGAATAAGAAACATAACACAATGGTTAATATGGTTTGTTAGAGAAAAACCCTAAAACAAAATTAATACAAATTAACTCTATAAATGTTAGTTAGTAGACACATACTTTGTCAAGAAATCTCGAGCTAACATTTCTAGATCATTCTCTTCGGGTTCAGGCCTTATTAGGGTGTCGTCATTGTTGGAGCATTCGGGTAATACAAGTGACGTTTGTTCAGATTTAGCATGTTCGAAAGGAACAATCGAAATGGTGGAAAGAAATAAAGGTGATTGTTGCAACATTGAAATTCGAGCACGAATGTATGTTAGCTCTTCCTGCAAGTTAATAACCTGAAATTCTAGCATCAAGAAATTAGGGTTTTATATAACATTTTCGTTATTATTAATATGGAAAATATTAAAAAAAACAAGTAGTTTTCAATTACAAAATATAAAATTTCTTCCTTTGCCAAGTGTCATGGGGTAATTGGTCTGCCCAATACTGCACCTTCCATGAATTAGATTGATTTTATAATATTTGGTAGCTCTTTTCACATCACTTCTTATGTTCTTTATTTTATGTGAGTGTACATAAGAATTTGACATGATCATAGTTTGCAAGAAACCAAATCAATAGAATAAAAGGAAGCCAATTATCGTGGTTTAAAAATGTTTGATCGCATTCTACTAGTAGCAAAAAACCAAAAGGAAACCTTAACTGACAACCGACAAGTATAGACGGTCACAGATGAACCCAAAAAAGATTAACAAATACAATCGTTAACTTTTTTAATTGATAGATCTGTCCACAGTTTCTAATATAGATCATAAATTCAAATAACTTTTTTTCAAAAAAAAAAAGGGGGGGGGGGGGGGGGGGGGGGGGGGGGCTGTAATCACTTATTTGCGTTTTATTAATGTATTTCCATGTTTTTGTGCTTTCGCTTATTTTCAGGAATCAGGACCAAAAAGGTTTCCTACTTGTATGTTGCAACAATATTAATTATCTGCTTTTGAAAATCTTATTCTTATCTGTTAAGGCTTATTAAATTAATTAAGTGGGCTTTTCGATATGTTCCTTCAAGCAATTATTGCGACAATCAAGTGTAAAAAAACAAGTTACAACAGAAAAATAAAAGCTACTGATACGTAGTTTATTAGTTCTACAATTAATTAATTGCAGGTTTCGTATCTTTCTCAAATCTGTTTATTTGAAGAACGCAAAGAACAAGTTTTGATGGGGAAAGTACAGGCAACAAAGCATCTATAGATATGCATGTGAGAATTATTAACGGATTGAGGGAAGAAGCTAAACCTGTTGTTGGAGGGAGAAGATGTTAGCAACACAGCCATACACAGGATCTCTAACCCTAGATAAAGCTTCATAGCAGAGTGAAACGACAGCGTCTAGACGGCGGTGCGGAGGTACCCTAAAGAGGAGCTTGGAGGTGTTGCTAGCTCCGAACACCCTGTGCACCGCCGCAAAGTGAGTTGTACCTTGATCTGAGTCAAAGTATGGCGCAAACACACAGCTTTTCACACACTTTCTTCTCAAGAACTTGCAGGCTCCACAAGGCCCACCACCACCATTGTTGCTCATCTTTCACTTAATATCTCTCTATACAAAATAAACAGATGGGTATTTATGTGAGAGAGAGAGAGAGAGAGAGAGAGAGAGAGAGAGAGAGAGAGAGAGAGAGAGAGAGAGAGAGATATGATAATAACTTCTGGAAGGTATTATGGAAGGTATTGGTGGTGGGTCACTTGAGACTTGCTGGAGCCTCCATATATAGGGATGTCATATGCATGACCCACTGAGGGTGCTTCCGTAATTTTGTTATAGTTTTGGGGTATTCTTGAAAATTTCAATGTTTATTGTATCGTTGTGTGTATGTATGCAATTTTATCATGTTTTTATCTGGAAAGTATTCGTGGTGGGTCAAGGAGGAGTTGATGGAACTCCATATGTATATGTGAATGTTCGATTGATGAAACTTTAATGGTTAGTTCGTAATTTTCTTTGCTTTTGGGGGTAAAAATTGTAATCTGGTTTGGTGGAGGACAATTTTGTAAAATCGGTAATAACGTTCTGATGAAAATAACTTTGGATAGTTTTGGTGGTGGGTCAATTCGGTGTTGGTGGCACCACATATAAAGGGAATGATCTATAATTAGGGTTTTACTCATTCCTTTCGATCATATGCCAAAAATGTTATATAAGTAAATCATGGGAAATTCAGTGATCATAATTTTTTTATTTTTATTTTTTATTTTTATTTTATTATTATTTATTTTTTTTTTGCAAAATGATTAATTGGTCTGGAATGCTCTATTCAGGAGCCGATTTAATATTCGGTAGATGAGTAAATAGATCAAATCCGGTAACTTGTTTGATAGCAATGATGAAATGCAGTTTTATATGTAAGTTTCAATTTTGTTTATAATTATATGCATTAATTTTAGATTATACGTTAAAATATGTTTAGTTTATGCAATTATATATGTATTATAGGGTTTTCTGTGAATTTTATTCATGTTAAGGCAATTATAGGACTACATGTACTTATACATTTATACTATATCAAAAAGTGTTATAAAAATCATAATTTTCACTAGTTCGGAACATGTACGAAATCCGAAAATCATTTCCAGAATACTTAGAACTCTCCGGAATACAAGGAACCAGTTCCAGAATTTATGGTCCGGACTTGCTTTTCGGATTTTTTTGTCCGAAATTCCGTTCTGGAACATACATACAAAAATCCATAATTAATTATTCTTTTGATTGTAGCACAATAGAACATATGAAGCGGTTACTACAACCTGCAGTCATGAATTTGGGCACAAAATCATGTCACGTTTACAAAACCGACCAATTTGTGGGGTCATGTTTAGGCACTCATGTTTTGGTGATTACGAGAACATGTCGATGGGTGTCGCATGTTACAATCTACTATGTCACTATCTTACATGTAAGGAATTTACTACTTTTGATCCAGTTGGCCTACAAGAGCTTTTATTTCCGGGTGGCGACTATCGGGTTTGCTTTGACAGAAATACATACTGCTTAGTCACCGACTTGCGGTTCAGGGATTATTTCTATCCCAATTCTGGTTTTGTAGAATTCAGAAATGTGTGCTTCCATTTGTGTCGCTTTCACTTTTGATGAGTATAGATGACCTTATGCACATGTTTAATAACTTACTTCATCAATTAAGTAATGAAGACCTGGTGAGAGTCTTCCTATTATATATGTTAGAGCAAGGATTCTGGGGGAAATACCCTCGAAGGCCAGTTACTAATGAGGGTATGTCACTCGTTTCTAATTTAGACGAGTTTAACAGGTATATAGTTTTTTACCCACTTTATATCAAAATGATATATATATATATATATATATATATATATATATATATATATATATATATATATATATATAAGTGTAATTTTTTGACATAGATACTCATGGGGAAGATTGATATGAGATTTCGCTTACAAACAAATGTGTATTGTGTTTGATAAGATTGAGGACCATTTGAACCCCAATGCGCCAAGAGTCGACAATAGACACACATATACTCTGCATGGATTTTGTCTATGCATTTAAGGTATGTACAGTATGTTTAATAAGAGTTTTGAAGCAACAAGTATTGTAACTTTGTTAAGTTGGTAAGTTGTTTGACATCTTAATTTTGTAGATTTGGATCATATATACATTTCCCAACAGTAGTATAGTTGGTTCCCCTATACCGGGTATTATCCATCAGGCACTTGCATACACTAAGATGAGGCGTCTGTAGGCACTTGATTGTCAACGTATTCTCGATGTTACTAATGTATGTAATTTAGTCCACTATAACGCTCGTAGATTAGAGTTACTCAATTTAGAGACAATAAGCATCAAAAATGACTTTTTGATGAAAGATTATTTGGAAGGAGTAATCTTAACTAAGTTGTAGTATATGTTACAAGGATTCAGTACATATAAAGAACACCGAAATCCGAGTTATAACGAAGAAGTTATGACTTGTCCAAGTTTCGCAACAAACTGACACGACGCTGAATGATGTAAAATATGAATTTAAGATAGAGCGATATCTAGCCTTAGGGATCTAAACGAAAGTCTTAGAATAGGTTAAACCAAGAGTGCATAAAAAGAACGCCCAAATCGGACTTCATATGAGGAAGTTATGATTTTCCGAAGTTTCGACTTAGTGGTATGCAGCCCGAATACTCGAATACGAGATCGAGTGATTTTTAGCCGAAATAATCTAAACGAGAATCGAAGAACTCGTCGATAGTAGTCCAACGGTAAAAAGATAGATGAAAACGGACGTCGGATGAATAAGTTATGAATTTCTAATGATGTTTTCATGTCCCGACCTACTAAAAATAATATAAAAGCAATATATTTATAATATATTAAAAATAAAGTCAAAATTAGCCAACAGAGTTTAAACGAGAGTTGTAAAGCATATTCTCACCTACGCGTCGATATAAATAACGTCGAAAACGGAGTTTGTATGCGAAAGTTATGACTTTCTGAAGTTTGGGGAGCGAACCCCAAAGCTGTGTCAGTGGCCACGACATGGATACAGTGCCCACGACGTGGCATGTTTTCTGATGCCTCCTGGAGTCTGCCAGACCCAACTTGCGATGACGCATGTAGTGACGACCAAGCCCACGCCTTGGAAAAAGTGCCAACGACGTGGAAAATGAGAGATTTACTTTATAAATAGATTTGAAGGGGCAGCCGGCCAAGGTTGCTAATTCACCCTTCTCTCACCCATATTACCTCGATTTACGTGAAAAGAAGTACCCCCGAAGCCCTGGTATCATCCCGAGACCCGAAGCAAGTCCCAAAACCCAAAGATCCCGAGAAGAAAAGAGTTTCCAAGCCGAAGCTCTGCCTGCAAGAAGCCCGGTGTGTGAAGATATCCCGGTTTCACCGAAGAATACTACTCTTAGAGCTGTAGTGATGTCCGAGCATCGTCTAACCAAGTGAGTGTGTAGTTACTTTCTTCTAACACATAGATATGAAGTATTTGCTATGGAATACGTGTTATGTGTTTATATATTGTTGTTTACTTGAGATGGATGTTGATGAATGTTTTATATAGGTTTTTTAAAGAGTTTTAAACTGTATATGTAATTTATATCTACAAATATGTTTGGTAGAACATAGGTAGATGAAATAGTTGGTGTGTGATGAAATAATGTGATAAGAGATAGGTGAGAATATAATGGGGATGATAATTAGGTGATGATAGATAGGTAATGAATTACGATTCCAGGTGATGTTGTGGTTGCATATTCATGCGATGATAGTCTAACCCTTATTATGATTTACGAGTCCAGGCGATGTTATGGTTGCGTATTCATGCGATGATAGTCTAACCCTTATTATGAATTACGAGTCCAGGCGATGTTGTGGCTGCGTATTCATGCGATGATAGTCTAACCCTTATTATGATTTACGAGTCCAAGCGATGTTGTGGCTGAGTGATCATGTGATGATACCCTAACCCTTACTAAACACATATTGAGGGAGTGATCCTTGAATTAGTATTGTATATGCGATGTAGGCGATGATCCTTAGGAAAAGTTCTTAGGAACAAACATATAAGGAAATAAGATGTAAGGAGATGAGAAGTAAATATGATATAGGAGATGACCCTTAGGATAATATCTTTAGGGAAGATTAAACGAAGATAATGGGGATGAGTAATTGGGTTAATTGTTTGATGATTAAATATAATAACTATATTATTGTGGGTTGAAAACCCTATATGCTCACCAGGCTCCCAAGCCTAACCCACTCAGTTTTCTTTGCATTATAGGTAATGGCACAAGGATATAAGTTGGTGGACTTGATGAGAGATTTTGGATTATAGATCAGTAGTTATAAATAACTGTTGTAAGGTCCATTTTATATTGTTTATGCTTTTGGTCTGTATCGGAACATGACATCCCGAGATTTTGTTATTTAATGAAAATACATTTCTTTAAGAAATGCTTTGATAAATTTTATTTTATCATATTTTATTTTGGGAACAAATTCCGCAACTCTTTTAATCAAAGGATTACTCCGATTTTATAAAACAAATCATAAACAAATCGGTTTTTTCTGGCAGTGAAATTGGGGATGTCACAATCCACCTTATAATTTATAAGTTGCTATGACATAAATAACTTAAGATTAATATTTATATATTTTTTTATGCAACCCCCTTCCTCCCCCCCCCCCCCCTCTCAAGTTGTTGTAGCCTACTACACATATTGTTTTTATGTAGTGTCCCCCCCCCCCCCCCAACGAGTACAAGGTATACTCGAATATTGTCATTTTCCACACATGCAATAATAAGTTTACAAGTTTACTATAACATTTTTCATTTGGTTGGTCACCTTATATCTGCTTTGATCATTATGGTATACCCGAAAAGTAGAAGACTTGTTGATCCTCCTCTCGATGACCTTCTCAGCATACTCAGTAACATCTTTTTTACTTTCAGCTATAAAAAACATTTACGTATATGTTTTCATGCACAGTAAATTACACTATAATTATCATGGAAGTAATATAATATAGGGTTACACTTACTTCTAGCATTACATCGCTGGCACCACCATTATTGCATAGTTGTTCGAAAGAAATCAATCAACATTGTTATTGGTAGTTTCCGTGCATCTCTTGATAATGCATTGATGGAATC